ACATATATATATATATATACATATATATATATATATATATATATATATATATATATATATATATATATAATATAATACATATACATACATATATATACATATATATACATATATACATATATACATACATATATATATATACATGTGCATACATATATATACATATATACATATATATAGCATACATATATATACATATGTGCATACATATATACATATTACATACATATACATACATATATATATATATACATACATATGTACATACATACATATGTATATACATATGTACATACATATATATACATATGTACATACATGTACATATATATATATATATATATCATACATACATATATATAAATATGTACATATATATATACATATGTACATATACATATGTACATACATATAGCTATATACATACATGAATACATATATGCATACAAATATAAATGTATACATACATACACATAAATATTCATATTGGCATACATACTTACCTACATACATTGCTGAACATAAAATATGTAAACTGTACAGAGCAGAAATAAACACTTTGGCAATTTAATTCCTCACTACACTTACCCCCATTATTTACTATCCGAATTTTGTACCGTACCTTCAAATAATACCTGGTGTAATTATTTAATAATCTTAACATATAGATGAATACATAATCTCATAGGAATAAGAGCACTACATAAACAAAGCTTGACTATTGTCTATTTCAGTTTTTCAACATATTCCAAACCAATAATGTACTTTGCATCTAAACATCTTGCAAAATGTTCAAAATCTGCATCAGCTGGCAATTTAGGAAAGTAAAACTCTGGTGTTTGTACAGTTGATTATAATAAATAATGATGACATTCAGTATTTACATTATTCTGGGTATGAATGCATTATTTCTTAACAGGGAGAGATTCTATAATGCACTTACTTCTTTTGTTTCAACAGTACAAATAACTTATACACAAGTGTGTAGTTCTACTAAAACATTGTAATACATCTTACAGAAATACACATACTGTATTTATAATATTTAGGGGGCCACATTCACACCATCTTCTAAAGACAGTTCACTGTTTCTTGTAATATATATCTGTTTCCACAGAGATAAGAATATATTTTATCAATCATGATCATATCAATACACTTTTAAAATACCTCAAATAGGGTAACATATAAAAAGTTGGGAAAAGTGCATCCTTGCATATTACACTTTTGTCATGGAAGATAGGGCTAAAAAGACCCAAGTGTAATTTTACTTTCAAATGATTTCAAAGAGAAACTTGACACAAACACTGCATATAGAATATTGTGGACCCTTATGTAGATATAGGAAAGGTATTTTTCCCATTATCCAAACAATGGAAGGGGTACAATATTCATCTTCTTTACACATTCGGAAAATGGTAGTTATCTGCTGGTCTTCATGAATTCGCAGATTTTATGAAAATCATATTATATTTCTTGACTAGAATGGCCCTATCTTTATGCAGAATAATCATGATAATCTTAAAAAAAACAAAATATTATAGATAATAGTAATAACATAAAAACGAAAATGACAACTAACTAAACAGACACAAAAAAAATTACATATTTTTGCAATTCTTTAATCAAACAAGATTACCAAGTTAGACTTGACTGTAAAAGAAAATGATCACAGCACCCTGTCCCAGCATACTAATGAAATAATAAAGAAAACCAAATGCAGTTACGTGGCCAAAGCACACAAAGCTTTGTCTCCTCAAAGGACTCTTCCGTAAGATAATGCTCACCTACAAACACATTCTTTACTTACTACACTGAAGAACACAGTATATTAGATCTCACTTCCTCTAGTTTAGTTCTCAAGTGATTCTTCACCTTTTGGTCATCACAAGAAGTATGCTCAAAGTGATTGTTGAAGGGAATTTCCCTATCAACACTTAAATTACACAACTGCAACCTGAAAACCTTTCTGTGAGTACATATATATATAAACATATATATGTATATATCATACATATACATTTACATATATATATACATATACACATAATATATATATATTCCATATACATACATTATATATATACACACATACATATACATATACATTATTAATATACATACATGCATATTTCATGTATATATGCATAACTGTCTTATTCAGTGTTCCATTCCATTCCTTGACCCTCTAAATGATGTAGAATATTAGACTTACTCTGCTTATTACTTCCTCTCACATCTCTAACATGTTTCCAAACTGAGGCCTTTCACTTCAGGTAAAGGTATTAGTGAAGTACAAGAAAATTAAAAGAAGGAGCTTAGTTTATCATGTTTAGGTTCACATTCATGCAATATATTTCTTGGAATCCTTCTCATGTTAACTATAAGGAGGCAATTTCAGCCAGTATGAAAGGTGAACATTAATTTCGTAAAGATGCATTATGGAAGGTCTAACTGGATTGCTTAACAATATCTCAGGTCTCAGTAGGCACTAATGCTTCAGTCTTGAGAGTTCAAATGAAGAATATCTTGCACAAGACCCTAATTGTAAAATTTATTAACTCTGAAGTAAAGAATACCATAATTTTTTGAGGACTTCTAAATCTCATGATCCAAAAGAGATGTATTAAACATGTGGCAATAAAGTCCCATTTTGAACTATATTAAGAACTATAAGAACTATATTAATTAATCTATACCATAATAAATAATTAAAGATATACAAGACCTGATCAACACGTAAGCAGAAAACTATTTTGCAACATAACTAATAACATGAGCTCCTTACTTTCCTTGAGTGGTTTTCTGTATATGAATCAATATTGGGAGATTGGAAAGCATGCCTTATCATGTGAAAATGGTGGCTGAGTTATACATGGGCACTACCCTCCCTAAAACAGAAGGTTTTCACTCTTTTTGGGGATATTTCAGCGTGTATGAGGGCTGCTGAAACAAAGAGGATGCAGAATAGTCTGAACCTATGGCATTTTCAGATGGCCACACAGGCACAGAGCAGGACTGCCACTGAAGACTGTACATACATATACACATATATATACATATTTGTATACACATAAATATAGATATATATATATACGTACATATAATTATATAAATTACACTACCTCAGTCATCCCAATCATTTCACATCCGATGTTAAAATTAAGCGGAATAAACAGAAGAACTTTGGAATGGCTAAACATCCGTGTCATAATAAGGCTTTCAATATACAGTGTAACCATTAACATTCTGCTTAAATACTTGCTTAAGAGATTAGTAGGAATATTAATTTTTTTAAAAATCATGCAGCTTTAATCAATACAAGCTTAGTCTGTTGATCAGTCCCTACAGGTTTCACTGTGAAAGCCTAGATAAGCAAATACAAAACAAACAGATCTTGACTGAAAATTCCAAAATATAAATACATGAATCATCTTAAATTTCTTATCAGCACAAAAAGAACCAGGAGAGGGTCCATTTCTTAGTTTTCAGAAACCACCCTAAGAAATAACAATTTAGCAAATCATAAATATGAAGTAGTTAATTCAACCTAGCTTTTACTCCCACACAGAACTGCTATGTTCTATACGAGAAAAGAATGACGATCTATACATTGAGCAATAATTATCAACATTACCACAAACTTTTTACAAGAACACCACTTAATACAGCAAAGCATCTATTTCCAAATTTTACAAAGATATTGAAGATATATAGATAATTTACTTAAAGACCACACACTGAGGAAATTACGCCATTCAATACCAAAAAATCTGAGCATTACACAGGAAGTGAAATTCATACATGGTATATCCCAACATTCAAAAATCACATGCATGATAAATAATGACTGATACATGGCTTTCTGACAGAAAAATCAAGGCTAACTCACATTGTGCTTTATCAAAACATAATCTCTTTTTCCTTATATCTTTGCAAAATTTACTGACACACTGAGATCAGCATCCAGAAAAGAAAGAGGAAAAAGATGTTTGGGCTTTCAACCTTCTAGCAAATATTTGCAACTTCCACACATCAGGATTAAATAATTGACCTTAATGTTATGCTATATTTACAGGTTTTCTTTCAACAAGGCAAAGAGGTAAACAAAAAATTGTTAATCCAGGTGTCAAGCTTCTACCGTCTCATATGCAAACATTACCTACAAAGTTTTTGAACTAGGCACACATCCTATGACACTAACTCATGAAAACATTCCCATTATCAGGGTTACACAGCTGATCAGTGAAGACAGTCAGGTCACAAAACAGCAATGAACTTAATACCTTCACTCTCCTCCATGGGACCTGTATTCTTCAATTCCTTCCACATTCCTTGAACTTCTCTGCTGGCTACAGCTGCTACCAAGTCCTCAGTCTGTCAGCACAAATGTATGGATGCAGGCAGACACTTACAAATTCATAGACATACACACACTTACATTCACCTTCAGAGACACACACACACATGGACACGCAGACATTCACCATTTCTTTCTCGCCAAGGTCTTTGCATTGGATGGTGGAAATACTTGTATGAGCACATAGCAAGCAAAGGAAGATCAATACCCTACAGTGCTCTGCAAAGATATCAGCAAATGCAAGAAAAAACAGCTGCTGAAGCATCTAAACACTACTTCTCTTTTTTGGCAACTGCCACAGCTTTGAATAAGCTTTCAGATATCAATTACAAAAAAAGTATAGCAATACACAGCAGCTAATAATTACTTGCTAATCAAAGTTAAAAAGAATTCAAGCTCCAATACTATCACATGAAGCCATGACACTCATGCCACACAAAACAAAACAAAAAACAACTTCAAAAGAAAATTAAAATTGCTGTTCGTTTCCCTCAGTATCTATACAATTCCCTGTCCCATAGAACCTGAAAACCTTTATCATATTTGCATTCTTGTTTCATTATTCTTAATATCTTCATGAAGCTTTAAATCAGTGAAAAAAAGGCTGAACACAGTAGCCAAGGCATAATGAGAGCATGAATCTCATCAGTTTTTTATTACCAAAAAATAGAATGGTAGATAAACACATCTCCTTCCAACTCAACTATTACAACTTGGTAAATGCATAAACTGTTATTGGCTTCACCATCTGAAACCTAATGTCACTTGAAGATAGATAAACTCAATGTCTATGTAAGACCTTTCTCTCTAATCATTGCATATCAGTTGCCAATTAACATTACTTTTTGGACAGAGGACTAGGGTGTGTGTTTGTTTGTTTGTGTTTGTTTAGTTATAAATATAATCATTCCAAAAATCCTCAAAAATAATCATAATTAATAAACTTATACTGATTTATGAAAATTCTCTTGATCTTCATTTATAAAATATAGTATGCTCCCAAATTATGATAGTTCTATTGTCTTGTACTTCCATTTGTTGATTCATGGAGAACAGAAATAATAAAAATTATGATTAAAAATAAATACACAAACATATCCTTCTACTATCCATTTACTAAATTCTATACAATGTTATTCTCTTTTTACGCTAATCCTCAAAACAGGCTACAGAAGTCAAATGTTCAGTAACAAGCCATTTCCATCTGAAGCGCAGACTGACAGCTCAAAAGTCATTACTTACTTTCCTTTTAAAACATTTCCTTTACTGATTCCATCAGCTCAATTCATTTTCTATCCTACCTGTAAGTACCTGGTACCTCAGAAAGCACCTGTTAACCTGTAAAAGGTAGGAAATCTTTGTGTTACAACTGTCACCAAAGTTAGAGGGTAACTGGAGTCTAATTGGGCCCTCCCCTTTATCTTCTTTTGGAATTTCTTTTCCCTTCTTTTGGGTGTATGTAAGGCATCAGTTGCAATATAATGTACAGCAATGCAGCAACCTCCATTAATCCTTTCAAGAGTTGAAATGAAGAGCCAGTGCAAATATTCAACTGAAAAATAAAACAATCAACAGAAATCAAGAGCCACAGCACAGTGTTGATATTTGGAAAGTCGAGGCTCAGATTCTCAAAGCAAAACAACAGTGTCAAATAAGCCACTGTTGCATTTTCAGGGGGAGAGCCCAGTCACTACTATTTTCTGTAGGCAGGGCACATATCATGAAGTTTTAGCATCAATGTACAGCACAATCAATTATTTCTCCACGTCTAACTACTTTCAGACACATCCATCCTATGCGTCTGACTCGCCTTGTCCAGCGCCTTCATCCTCCAGGATAGGAACAATAAGATTATCCCGAGACATCAAATTGTACTTTGTTACGAAAACTGTAAATCGCCGACACAGAGAGGTCTCCGCCTGTACATGGGATAATAGAAAAGAGTTATTCATATTATATCATTAATTATATAAAAACTGTATATACCACAGTAAACAATATCAAAAGCACACATCTTTTGTTCTTAAAATCTTCTAAGAATCTTTCTTACCTCAAATTCATCAAATATTTGTCTATGGTGGAAATATGCATGGGAGAATATCCTGTAGACTCTCCTGCACACTGATCCCAGTTTGGCTACGGAGGATTCTTTGATGCTTACTCTGTAAAAAAAAAAATAATAATAAATAATAATAATCATTACAACATATTCATAACACAGAGATACAACAACTACGCTGGCAGCAATTCTAAGGATGAAAAATGTGACAATGAGTAATGAGTAAAAACTGTTCTATTTTTGCTAACATGAGAATATTTAAATCAAGAGACATAACCATTCTTATATTATGATGCCATAGATATAATGTAAGTGACTTTGTTAAATCACAAGGAAATAAAAAAATTCTGTTATCTTATATATATAAAAAAAATGGTGGGTCACAAGGGAGGCTACAAAAAAATACTGTAGGTCAATTTGCTAGGCAACATAATTTTTCATTTCAGAATACACAGTGATGCCCTTTCTTCTGGGAAAATTGTATTATACTTAGATAAATACAGACCACTGTTTTTTGTTTTTGGCCTAATTATATGAAGTTAGAAAAAATATGAATAAGACAGCTGAGGTGAGAGGGTACAGAGGTGTTGGATGTTTGAGAATTAGGTCATGAGTGTAAAAAGGTTAGGAACTAGTGAACTACATGTATTCTGTATTCTATCTAACAGCTTATAGATCTATGATTTACTTTATTCAATTAATTTTTTTCAACTATAATTTTCTTAAAGAGAACGGGAAATTTGTGCAATATAGCTCAATAAATAAATCAAATAAATTTCATCCAAACGTACATTTCACAGGACACAGTTTACAGTTATTTTCAAACACACAAGATGCTCAACTAACTCGCACCAAGTGGCATATGCTAAGATAAAAAATCCCAGACACCAGGTGATGCCTCATCCTATCATAATTCTTTGTTCCAAATGCCATGCCATGTGTGGGAATGCCATAATTCAAGCACTTTCAAGGTTGGACATACTTAAAAAAAAAAAAATGGTTGGAAAGGGGTGGGTGACATCTGCAAATGTAATATTAAAGGTGATGTTGACATACTAAATAAGTTATAATTACTCATAGTGATCTAGTTGGTTGCCTGTTTTTCTGGTTATAAGAAGTGATCTGAATGGTCAAGTGGGTACATAAAATCTGGAATCACACAAGGGATAATCACTTCTTACTCTTTAGGCAAAGTCAAGCAAACCATAAGACTGCAGTGGGAAAAATTACATTACAATATCAAGTGTGCTACTGCAAGCCGGACAATCACCCACGGCAAAGCTGCACATGCACTAATGCACACCCATCCTCTGCTGATATCATAAACCCAAATTTGTCTAAGCCTACCATTTTCATATAAACATATATCATACTACTGAGCTCTTTCCAAGAAACATACTATGTTTATTCTGGGCCTTTATTAGTGTTATCAAACAAACTCTTAAATCTACCTCAAGAAGAGAGCTAAATGGTCTATATATTGACATTTCTGAGAACCTTTTAACTATTACACATATTCACCCCAATTATGGCTTTCCATCTAATGTGCATATCTTACACAATACAAGGCCTGTTACAAATTGGTTGGCTTCCTTCTTAGACATTTTTGTTATCAAAGAGCCATACATAATGTTCATAAGATATCTGGTAGCGTTTGGCAAGTTTCTAGCAATCATACCCATGATATCCTGCCCAAACCCCTATTGCCAATGTAGGCCCTCCATTCGCTAACCCAAACATAAACATATTTTCTTGCATTTTTCATCTTGTGAATGAAACATACTAAGAGAGAATGAGTAAATTCTGGTTCTGCATAGCATTTCTTATCCAGCTAAACCCTTCCGTCTTTTTATCTCCCATATTCCACCTTCACATCTTACACAGTCTGTTTACCAACCTTTTCTTCTTGTGAAGAAGAGGTGGGCAAACAGAAATAGTAATTCTGGTACTGTATGGTATTTTTCATTGATAATGTTGAAATGCATATAAATTTGCCTTAATGAAACAATAATTTGTTTCAGTGAAACCGAAAACCAGGTCTTTTTGTGAGAAAGACAAGTTGGAGGGTTTGCATTTCTTAGGGATTAAGTATCTACATATGAAGAAATGAAAATCACAATCATATACATGCATACACAAACACTTCCTTCCCTTTACATATCATTAACTAAATAGGCACTAGGATTACACAACTGCACAAAAACTTTTACATTAAGAAAAAATTATTATATCTATCATAAAAGTGATTTTATGGTGCTTCTCACACCTAGCACAACCTCACAAAAACAATGATAAAAATCACAAAGCCAAAGGAACTGAAAGACCACACACTACCTGTCATAACAAACACCAACCTGCTGGGAAAGTACTTATTAGAGTTGAGAAGACAGGCAGCCCCATCCAAGGTGTGTCGGGTATAGTCAATAGCTGGACACTCTTTGGGTGTCTTGTGTGCAGCACAGAGGAAGATCCACTGCTCTGTGGCTGTCATCTGAGTGCACGTAGTGGGCTGGCACTCTCCCTGTAGTCGTACTGCCAAGCCATTCAACTCCATACAAAACTGCCTAGAAATGTCATGGGACAATCAATGTTTGAGTGACAACTGTTTTGCATGCCAGTATCTGATACTGGTGTTGTTTGCATCTGCTTCCAGAGATAATAATAAAAAGATCTCAAAAGCAGTAACATCTAAAGTATAAAATATTCAAATCAAGCACATAATCTGTTCATCACAGTTAGTCTGAAGCATCTACAAAAACTTTTCAGACTTTATCACCTGAAAGAAACTTACTGCAGCCATCTTTCTCTCCTAGATAATTCAAGGCTAAAAAGGAATCACCAAAATTCCTCACCACTTTGTTGACAACTACAGCAAGTTAAATGTTCTATGATATAAAAACAGCTTACCAGTGACGCATAATGCAAGTCCTAAAAGAGATCACACCTTTTACCTTTCCTAACTACCTCTTATTCATACCGTGCACAATATATACGTGTCATTCTTACCTTAGATGCTCATACTTCCAAACCCCTTCATCTTGAGTTTCTGGGGCATTGAGAATGGCGTCAATGTTGTTGTGGTCATGTCGGATGGTCTGCTGGATGTACTGCTGCACTACAAGGGTCGAGTCCATCTCTTCATATGCCTCTTCACACCATCGGTAAAAATTCTAGTGGGAGAATCAAAAACCTTGCGTCATCAAAGGGCAAAGATTTCTAATCTGTATGAAACTAAGGATGTTCAAAGGAACAGGAAGACAATGAAAATAAGTATACTCTCAAAATATACAAACTCGTATACATTACTACATATGGTAAAAATTAACATAATGCAATTTTCATTATTGATATTTCCATTTTCATTGTAACTGCTATTGTTACACTTATCATTATCATCATCATCATCATCATCATCCCTATTATCAATATCATTATCATTAATACCACCATTAGCATTAGTATTACTATTATTATCACTATCATTGTTATCATTATCATTGTCATTCTTATTATTGCTATTATCATTATCATTATTATCATTACTAATATCATTATTATCATGATTACTATTATCAAGTGACATAACAACAAAATAATAATATTGACAATAACAATGACCACTACAATAACAATAACACCAATCATCACCATCACTGTCATTGTCATTATCATTATCATTATACTTATCATCATTATCATTATTATCATCATTGTCATTATTATTACTATTATCATTACTATTATCATTATTATCGTTATCATTATTATTACTATTAATATTACTATCATCATTGCAATTATTATTATTACCATTATTATTATTACCTTTATTATTATTATCATTATCATTATCATCACTATTATCATTATCCTCATAATCATTAAAATCAATATTATCTTTATCATCCTCATGATGATTATAATTAATATCATCATCACCAATATCATCAATATCATCATCATCATCATTATCATCATTTTTATTATCACCATTGCCATTATCATTGTCACTATCATTATTATTATTATTATTATTATCATCTTCATTAGACTACTGTCACTATCACATTCATTAGACTACTGTCACTACCACATTCATGACTTTTATCATTATCTCTTATCAACATCATTATTATTATTACTATGAATATTATTATAAAAGTGTAAAAAATACATCAACAAAAAATAACAATAACAATAATAATAATAACTAAAAACTAACAATAATATTTCTAATTACAATAATTACAGGAATAGTAATAATAATAACTCATAATAATTACAAATATATATATAATATATATATAAATATATAATATATATATATATATATAATATATATATATATATATATATATATATATATATATATATAATATATATTATATATAATATATATATATTATATAATACATTTAATATAAATATAAAATAATAATGCTTATTGGTTCAAACAAATAAATGTGCCACATCAAAGGTCATATAGCACTATGATAAAATATAGGGTAAAAATAAGTCTAAAGAGTTGGACAAAATGTGTTAGATGTCAAAGGTCGCAGAGCACAAAAAGGATAGTTTCATAGTGAATAGGGTAAAGACGAGGAGCAGAGATTAGTAAAGGAGGGAAGGGGGTTCAGGGTGATTTGTAATTAGATCAAAGGGAGAGTATTTATGCATCTGAAGTCGGAAGAGGAGCACTGGATGAGGAACAGTGCAAAAGAGCTATCATGAAGCAATCAACAGGCAATAAGGGTAGACAAGGGAAAAGGGGAAGGAGGTGAAGTATCAGGAAGAATGCCAGTTTGGGAAGGATCCAGAGAAGGACACTGTTGTGACAAAAGGGAGTCATGTGAGCATCCGGGTGGGAGCAGAAAGGATAATGGAGACTGGGAGAAAAGAGGGAGTAGTGGATGTGAAGGGGTAGGTGGTTAAGATACTGCTGAGATTATCTTGGAGAGAAAGGAAAGGAGGTATAAGTATCAAGGTAGGAGTGAGGCTGGGTTCACCAGTGAGGTCGGTCAAGGTTGATAATGCCCAAGCTTAGGAGTCAGATGTAACTGTGACAAGGCATGAATGATCAGACCAGCTGCAGAAGGAAACTTTGCCTACTTGTTTTTGGAGCCACTGTTGGAAGAGGTTGTAAGGAGAATCACAAAGAATCTATACCCCTGTGGCTAAGCTAAAAAGAGTATTCAAAAGGAATTAGAAGAACTAGGAAGGGAGGAAGAGGGAGTGGCATGGAGACATTAAGGATGAAAACTTGGAAGGAAAGAGGGGGCAGTGAGGTTGTACTGCCGGGAGGGAGAAAGAGGGGACGGGAGGAAGAGGGAGTGGCATGGAGACATTAAGGATGAAAACTTGGAAGGAAAGAGGGGGCAGAATAATAAGAAGATTGTGGAGGAGGAGGAGATGGAGTGGAGGATGTTGGGAGAGAGGAAGCAATGTATTCTAGAGGTGGGAGTGACCTGGTTGGATGATTCGTATTGGACCAAGTTGACAGTAAGCACTGGGGGATGTAGTAGCAGGAGTGGTCAGGGCTGTGATCAAAGGAGAGGAAGGGGTTGGAAAACAAGATAGGCTAGTTTATGCCTTAATCAATGCCTTTTATATGGGTACAAAATCTTCATTACTGGCCAGGAAGAGCCAGAAAAATAAGGGGAAAGAAACAGTCTACCCTTCAGAATCCCCTTGAGGGGTAAGGGTGAAGTAATACAAGAAGAGCATATCATGCCCCTTCATTAATGATGATGATGATGCCTGATGATGACTGATGATGATGATTGATGATGATAGATGATGATAAAAATAATATTAATAATGATAACAACAACAACAACAATGATGATAACTAAAAATAATCTAATAATGAAAACACTAATAATGCAAATAATCACAAAAATAATGGAGTAATAAATAATGGAAATAATGGAAAAAATAATGGAAATAACAACACAACAACAACAACAACAACAACAATAATCATAATCATAATCATAATTATAATAATAGCAGTAATAACAACAATTACAATATTATCATCATTATCATCACTATCAATATCACAATCATCATTATTGCATTACTATTATCATCATCAATATTGTATCATTAAGATTTTCTTTAGTGCATCATCACCAGCACCAGCACCAGCACCAACACCATCATCACCATCATCACCATCACACATCATCACCATCACCATCATCACCATCACCATCATCACCATCACCATCACCATTATTGCATTTATTACTAGTACCATTATCTCATTATTACCATTACTATTACAGTCACCATCACTATCACTATAATCTAAATCCAGACCCTAAAACACACTTTTAAAATATACTTTCATACACCATTTTTGCACTTCCCATCTCAGCTTCTTTTACACATAATGTCACTTCAAAAAGAAACATATCAGATATCTAGATTACACACATCCTTTGAAATACAGAGTAAGTAAAAATTTGAAAAACCAATTTCACCTTTTCAATCTAAGCCACAACAGAAATATTATGCATAAAAATCAGTAAGATGAACAAAACCTTCCAACAACAACAGAAAGACTAACAGCAAACCCACAGTTCAGGGCAGAGGGAGCAACTGGACTGGCTGGGGGCACCAGTGACAAGGGAAAACAAGGTCAACAGGGAAAGTGACACCAGATCCATATATGAATTGTCATGAACTCTTGAATAGGTACGTGCAAATTGCTTGAACAAAACGAAAATTGAGAATGAGTCATGAATGAGCAAAAAAATATATAGAGGGAATTACATACTTAGCTATATTTTCATTCTGACTACAAATTTCAAGACCTTAAAAAAATATTTATAAACAATCTTGAACGTTTCTAGTGTTTTATATGTCATGCACACTAAAAAATACAGATCAAGGATGACAACTAACACTTGTTAACTCTAAAACACGTCTATGTTCAGACAAGAAATCAATAAGTAAGAAATAAATAAGTGAGAAGATAACAGAGCTGTTCTGATGAGTTACCAACTTCAATTGAACTCACTACCATCTGGAACATGTATTGTCCACTCTAGTATTGTTTTGTGAATTTTGTTTACACACAGATCTTTCCACAAGTACTCAGCTCTCAAGGGGCCAATTAGTAGGCCTTTGTGACCTCACCTGATTTCCACTTTCCTGTTTATTATCATTATTATTGACATTATGATTACTGTAAGATTATTAGCAATACTAATAGTAATATAAAATAAAAGAATTCCAAAAATCAAGGGAAAGGAAAAACAAGTGAGCTAAGTAGGACTAGTAATTGACTCTTGGTGACTTAGTACTTGTGAAGCCATCTATGTGTAAACACAATTAATATACTAATATCACAATGGACATGACATGTACATACGTGTTGTCCCTGGGAGCAATGGGTTTACTATTTCTAACCATATGTTACCTAGCCAAAGGGCTCTACCCCCTGGACCCCAATGCTCATTATACAATACATCCTGACCCCATACCCAACTTAACCCATTTACGACGGGTGTCCCACATATGAGACACACGGAAAAATAAACATTGCCAGTGTGACATTGGATCGGAGAATACTTTGCGGGCCGTGGCTGGAGCACAGGCAGATTCTAGGCTAGCCCCACATGCTGATTTTGCAGCCGCCCGGAAACTTATTATTTTCGGCTTCAAAATATAGCAGCATTAGTGGGTTAACTTCTAAAGTACAGTGCCTTTTTAAGAGAGACAATGATTGATAGAGACTTTAACATCTACATGCACAAAGACCATGTGTGCATAGGTTAGTTGTTGGCTATAAGTTGAGGTAAGGCTAGACTTAGTTGTGGAAAGTACATGGGGACTAATCTCTTCATTTCTGATGTTATCTTTTGCCATGTATTTTTTCCCCTCTCTTTATGACAGTGGCATTAGATTTTCCTAATCTTAGTGCTGTCATTATGTATATATACATTTTTTTATTATTATCTGTATATACATTTTTTTATTACTATCTGTATCTTATCTTTACTGTTAAACATAAACAAAAAATATTTACTGTATGGCTTCATTTAGTATACTACATAAATATAAAAAAATTACATAAATATTGTTAATTGTACATTTACTGCATTAAGCAATGTAAGTCTCTAAAAAATTAAAGACAAATGTTTAGAAGACACTAGGGTATAGTTTTAGTTTTATACAGCTGTATAAGTCTACAAGGTAAACTTGCCTGTAATGATAGAACAACAGAAAATAAGGTTAATATTACCAATAGCAATGCACAGAGATAGAGGGAAATGGACATGGCAATCTTATAAAGCAAAAGAAATAATGTCATAAACAGCACAGATACAACTACTATGGCCTTGCATTTACCACAAAATGACCACTCACAGACTGTCCACAACACCCTCACATTACCAGAGTTCTTAATGTCCATTTCTTTAGATTGGTACAAAGTGCTAGTTAAAGTGGGAGGTTAATTTTTTACAATATGGATGCACTCGCCAGAGACTAAGTCCCCAACTCCATAACAAATAAAAAAAATTAATCAATCTAAAGGTGTGGTTCAACTAGCCTTATCTTTATCTAGGACCTGACTTGTGTCCATGTGCCCAGACAGACATAGTGCTTCAACTGCGAAAAGCACCTCTGTAATAAACCGCAAATACCTCTTGTCTGAATAACATAACTCATAGTACTTTTCATCTGGACAACATGGAGCACAAGGACTTATTCCGTTTCACTGTAATTTCGTGCTTCATAGGGTATATCTTTTTTTGAGAAAGAAGCACAAAAAATTTATTTACTGATTCAAAATTATTAGCACTACTCTGATGGGCAATCGCTGTGAATGCAGATCCTCAGTTTCAAAATTAATTTTTCTTGTTGGTTTGTTTTCGATAATAAATAATGAATTTTGAGATAATTAACTTTAAGAACTTTATATGTCCCCAATATAACTTCAGTTGACTTTATAGATATTGATAATTTCTTTAAACAAATTACAGATAATAGTTTTTGACTGCACCATGGAAAGCCTAGAGATACCCAAGGAAAAAGACACTCTTGTTCATGTTATAGCTGATTCCCCTCAGCCTCCAAGATTTCATACCAAAGTGACGGATTCGGCCCAAATAGCCACACTTACAGCTAGACCTGACTGTACATAAGACCAGTTGAGCCACGCCTTAAGTTGCCATGACTGGCCGTGCCCAAGGAGAGAGACTGCCCCCCAACACCTCCCGGGAAACATTGTCTTCACTTCGGTATGAACAGCAAGATTGAGCTGAAACCCAGGAGCACCAAGTGGACTTTGGCTGAGAGCGGCTCTTCTAATGATCTTTTTCCTTTATTTGTGAAGTTAAGTATTCATGTCTGCAGATTATTTCTTGTACCGACAACAGCAACTTTTAGTCCTCTACAAGAATTTCAAGAATTTGCCCTAACCTAATGCATCCATTTTGTAAAGATTAACTAAGGGAGGCCTAGAGAATAAATAGAAGGTAGGGAAGATTAGGTTTGGGTTTTTGGGTTCACATGATACCCTGGTTTTAGGATTTAGTCACTTTACATCTACAATGTTTCCTCCAAAAAATTATAATAATAAGGTTGTGAAACACATAATGCGTTGGTATACATTTACATAAAAATGTAATGACACGTATCATAATGAAAGGGGATAACTACACTTACTGATACATGAAATAATCTGTACAGGCAAAAACCTTAGAAATAAAGTTAATATGTTGCGACATGCCATGCAGAGAACAAGTCCACTGCAATTAGGTGGGGGTTAGGACAGTTTTTAGTTAATATAGTGCCCTTTGTGGATTCCGAAAGTGGCTGGAGTAATAGAGACTTAAGTTCAGAGGGGTGTGGTCACTGTAAACAGTACTTTCATTTATAACATTTGTAATGAAAAACAACAAGAGATCAATGCATATTACAAAGTGAAACATGGAATAACAATTGCAAAGTTGGATGGCTGTGACACTAAGAAATTACCGATACCAATTACAGGCCTTTCCTCTGTCAGCACTCCAGCAAAAGCTAGCAAACCGTCATTAGCATTACATTAACAAGAGACAGCTTGTAGACCTTCCCTAAAATATTTCTAGAATTAAATAAACAATCTGACCTCCTGCTAACCATAATAAGCATGGTGATTTGTTTCCCTAGGATAAAAAGGGTTTTTTTTAGCACCCGTGTGGGTATCTTCAGGTCTAGTAATATAGGTATTTCCGTCACTGGTTCACATCATGTTACATTGAAATTCATTGTCACTGACCTATTGTAACAATTATCATAAAAAAAATATGTAAAAATAAGTCCGATTTTAACGCATATGCCTTCAATGACTTCAATCTAAGGCGATATAGAAGGAATTCCAAAAATAAAGGCGGCTTCTTTCAGTCGTACACCAAAATTAGGCAAAATTAAGCTCTAGTTTTGTATAAGAACATCACGACCGTATCAATTATTTCATCCTAACCTATTTGAATGGTCAAATAATAGTAAATCACAAGTATACCGTAAAAACAATAATAAAAACTAAACAAACGCACGAACAAACCAACAATATCTACGTGTTTAATCATTTTTCTAATTAACTCTCTCTCAATTCTTCCTTCTCCATTCACACGCCAACCTCCTACATATGAATATAGGCCTAAAATCCTCACCTGAGCCTTAGTTCCAGGCCTATTTCTCCTTAACACGACACTTTGACTCTGGTCCGCCATCTTCATCTCTACTCTGTTCGCATCCTCGTATTTACGGCTTTAATTGCTTTTTCGTTTGTTTTTCGCTGTCTGTAAGAGTTTGTGGGCTACATATTTCTTATTTGGTTCATCTTTCTCTTTACTTCATATCAAATTAATCTAGTTGGTGATAAGATTACCATAGACATGGAAGAGTTTTATACGCTGTAGCTATTTTGAGGTACAATATATTATTTTCGATACTTTCGTCCTTTATTCCGGTTAATTCATTACTTCCCTATCATTCATTTATGCACATTTGATGGTATAAACAAGCGTCAAGGTTATCTAAGCCATGGTATAAATTATCATGTGTAAATAATTCACCGTAGATTCAAACCATAGAATCGGACACCAGATGGGTGTACCAAACATACCGTGATTAATGAATGCATATGATATAAACAATAATAATATGGCAACATGACATATATACACTTGGATATCAGTACCAAGTATTTACCAGAGATAGAAATTCTCACACGGTGTTAAAAGAAAGATATGAGAGGTTAAGGCTGATGAGAGAGAGGAGACATTTCATGTTCAGCCCTATATTGGTAGATAATTGACGGATAAAACAAGTAAGGTTGCTTTTAATTTGTGCAGTATGACAATCAATAGCAGAAGGGGAGGGAACGGAATATGGAGAAAGAAGTAGGAAAATAATAAAAATGGAGAGGAGACAGAAAGAGTGAAAATTTGAGAGTGGAGGTAGGAAGGAAGGGAAATACAGAGGAGGGAACAGAGAAAAAAGATACTGATAAAGAGAGATAAGAAAGAAAATGCATTTCTCTTTACTTTTAACAATCCTTTTCCAGTCTACACGTTTATAATTTCTCCCGTGGGCTTCATAACACTAAAATCAATCAAGTAATATGATAGAGCTTTTAATGATCGGATAAACACTATATTAACAATATACTGTTAAAAAATCAAGATTTTTCGTTTTAACTTCAAAGATATCGGTAACACGTTTCTTTGATGTTGAGGATAAGATAGCGGGTAGTGTGAGAAATATATGAAATGTGAAATTCCTATCGTTGCTGCATCCGAGCTAGATATACATGGATGAGGCTAGTTTGTGATGACAACAATAGTCTCTTTGAAGAACGTGAGCACGGAGGTATAAACACAAGCATACGCACGGATGCACACACACCCGGAACACACGCAGATACGCGCAAACGCACACGGCTCATGTCGCACACACGCGCGCGCGCGCGCGAAAAAAAAATAGGTTAAATGACTTGGCAGTAAGACCATTTCCCGAAAAAAGGGAATGGGAAGTAAATAAAATAAAGGACTTTGAGTACACAGATTATTAAAGAAAAGATAGACAGAAGATAAAGACTGAATAATGAATTAAAATTTCATCAGTTTTCACGTGTTGCTATACCTACTTGAAGGCACAATCATAAAAAACGCCATTCAGTTAGTCTTGTGTACGCCCAGGTCTGGTCGTAAGAGCGGCTATCTGGGCCGAATCGGTCACGAATCGGTGCGAAATCTGGGGGCTGAGGGCAAGGTCTATATAAGTACTTATATAGACCTTGGCTGAGGGGATCCAGCGATAACACGAACAAGAGCGCCTTTCCTCGGGTACCTTTGGTCTTGACAGGGTGCAATTAAAAGCCATTATCTGTAATTCACTTAAAGAAATGATCAATATCTGTAAAGTGAACAAAAGTTATATTGGGGATTTTATATGAAATATTTAGAATTATAACAAAATTCGTTTTATTACCAAGAATAAGTCAACAAATGGCTAATTTGAAACAGGATCTACACTCGCGTCGACAGCCCATCAGGCAAGCATTAATAATTTTAAATCAGTAAATCGGTTTCCATGCTTCTTTCTTAAATAAAATATATATATATATATATATATATATATATATTCGCCATGAAACCGTGAAATGGAATGTCCTTGCACTCCATGTTGTTCAAACGAGAAGTACTATGTGGAGTGCTGTTCAAACGAGAGGCATGCGCAGTCTTTTACGACGGTTCTTTTCGCAGTTGAAACACTACGTGTGGCTAGGCACTAGACGAAGATAAGGCCAGTTGAACCAGTTCAGTTCAGTTAGATTTGTGAAGATTAGCTTCGCCAGCCCAGTTGACTCGTGTTTTTAAGTTCAAAGCTTGCAATGCAGCTGCCACGGGGTAAGCGTTTGGCATACACTTTTTGCCAGCCCGACGGCTGTGGTTTGGGGTCCCTGTCACAGAAATTGCGTGTTCGCAATTCTGTAAGTAATGTAACAGGATGGCGTTCGGCTCGCCGCAGTGCATATATTGCCTGACAACTACGTCATCAAGAATTTGCCAAGCGCATGGGTAACCTAGTGGCTCATAGCCTGTGCAGTATGACTTCGGTACCTTTTTTTATATTTGGAGTCAGGGCCAGGTATTGCCTGACAACTACGTCATCAAGAATTTGCCAAGCGCATGGGTAACCTAGTGGCTCATAGCCTGTGGCATCTGAGTACCACTTGGCTGAGAGCGAGTTTGTGGTATTTTCTCTGTGCGTCTGCCGGAGAACTGCAAGCGCTGTAGCTTTGGAACTTTGGCTCAGGCTTCTTTGGCTTGGGTTGACGATCATAGAATTTGGGGGCATGCGCCTGCCCTTTCCGACTAGTCTGTCAGCAATCTCATTCCCTTGGATGCCTATGCGGCTTGGGACCCAGTTAATGATTATTCTTCTACCCTGATTAAAGATCCTCTGGGTTATAGTGAGGACCGTGGTCAGCAGGTAGGTGTTGTCTTGCGGCATGCTATGCTGTAGACTGTTAGTGGCTGATCTAGTGTCTGTGTGTATGATCACGTGTCCATTCCTTAAGGACACATGGGTCAGGGCTTCCATGATCTCAACTATTTCAGCTTGGAGCGATGAGGCATTGACATTGCCCCTAATGGATGTTCCGGTGCCTACACTGGTGTATGGGATCCACGGATCCGTCCGCATAGTAGGTTCTACTATGACCCTTTGTACTTGTACTCAGGCTAGGCATAGAGTATTGATCTTTTCTCGACAAGTTCAGGAGTGAGGACTCAATCAAGGTGTTTGCCCACGGTGGGGGTTCTTCGTAGTCAGGGTGGGGGGAATCCCTTGGCAAGCAGCCAAATTGAACAGTTGAACCTCCACTTAACTGGTCCTATATACGTGTAGGCCTAGCCGTAAGCACGGCTATCTGGGCCAAATCAGTCACTTTGGTGCGAAATCTGTGGGCCTGAGAGGAACCAGCATTTACACGAACGAGTGTCTTTTTTCTTGGGTATCTCTGGCGTTTCCAGGGTGCAATTAAGAACTATTACCTGTAACACTTTAAAAAATCATCAGTATTTATAAAGTCAACAAAAGTTATAGTAGAGATTTTATATAAAACATTTAAGAGTTAATTATCACAAAATTCGTTTTTTTGATTACCAAAAATAAGTCAACAGAAAATGGCTCATTTGAAACAGGATCTACACTTGCGGTGACGGCCCTCCAGGGGACCGTCCCAGATGGGTTGGGGGGACAAGGTGTTAAACTGAGTTAGCGTATAGTATAGGTACATGGATGAGGGAACTACCAAACGTGTATTAAGGGCCTGCTGTGGGTAGTTCTCTTGGAGTCGACGCGAGACCCACTAAACACTTGGGGAGGTACGTCGCTAATGAGCGCCCAGGTACACCTATGTGGACTTTTGCTTCTTCCAGTCGTGCATACGGCATTTGGTTATGGCATCGCGCAGAGATATGAGTTCGTGAATGTTCAAGGAACACTTTTATACCAATATCTCAAAAAAATATCAGTGATTTATGACTAAATATTTTGTGAAATAGATCTTTTAAAAAATGTAAGTTTTGTTTTCTTTTACACACGAAATGTGCTTCTATCGAGACTCTCTGGTAATATGTTGTAGCTTACGAATTGATATGTACATATACCGAGTACGAAGCACTGATGTTTGAAAATATCCGAATAAGTAAGGATTGAAATATTTCTGTTAGACTTCGCTTAACGGTTGGTACATCACTGCATCAGTAAATTTGATTTAATTTTAACTTGGTCGTTACCGTTATAAAGGGCAATTCAATACGAAGGTTACCTGAAAGTCGGATTTTTGAACTTCGGATGTATAAGCGAGATACTGATTATTTCATATTGAAGATGATAGTACTCAGTAATACCCGTTCTGAAAAAAACTATTTGAGCTCGTTTATGTGCGCAGTCTTCGTCTAGAGTTGAAAAAGCTATCGCATCTGCTTCATGTGTTCCCGATAACAAATATTACGTTTAGACATTACCGCAGATCTCAGGTACCATAAATTTACAAATATCCAACCACATTTAGGCGTCTACATGATCTTATGCACTTCTTAGTAAATATAATGGGTGTAAATGGCTAATCAACAACCTTACATTTGTTTCCCATTGCAATCTGTTAGTATTGACAATCATCGAAGAAAACGGTTTCAGAAGGATAACTAATATATTTTATTATTGTGATATAAAAGTCTATTAGGCCTATTAAATGAGGATGATTCATGTTTTTAAACTGTGTGCGTGCGTTTATGTACATATGATCCTCCTCGAAAATCATGAGTAAGTTCTCGAATTTCATGTACTAAATTCATGTTTTTTTTTAAATTTCAAGATTGAATCACCATGCTGTATTCGTGCTAGGACTATAATGATAATGATTTTGTACTAATGTTGCCATCCACAATTCTCCATTTCTTCCAAATAGAAGTAAAAATAAAGTTTTTATCTTTATTTAGACTAGTTATTTCTATGGTTCAATGCATTTATTAAACTTTTCAGACAAAAATATACTTTTATATCCAACCAACAAAAATAAATTACTTACCTGTATAGAAAGCGTCCCTATTGAAAATGATAATTCCGATTGACTTGGTAATCATAGCATCGCAAAGTACACTAAGATAATGAACTTTGGAAAGCTGTTAAAATATATTACGCCGTATCCCCGTTCTTTGTTTACATTACCTTCGGTACATCAATACGCTGGTAATTTTCGTGCGATTCAAATGCAGT